GTTCCTAAGAGCAAAATATTGTCGATTCAGTTTCGAACAGATATAATTGATATTTTCGTCCCATCTAAGATTTTCATCCAATAATGTACCCAGGAACTCACAAGTGTTGCTTGGTGTGAGCGAGTACTTGTTTGTGAAAAAATTCTCAATGTCAAGTCGTTCTACAGATGGTCTGTGAAATTGCAATGTAACAGTTTTGGAATAGTTTATAATTAGTCTATTTTTATGACACCAGTTATTAAATTGATCTGAAACATTTTTTATTTATGTGTTCAATTCGGCTTTGTTGACACATGATACAATTATCGACGTGTCATCCGCGTACATGAATACTGTTCCATCAGTTATGTAGGCAGAAATATAAACAATAAAAAAATCAGTGGTCCCAAGACACTTCCTTGTGGAACTCCTGTATCCACTAGGAATTCTCCTGATGTTTGGTCATTCACCTTGACTATCAGCTTCCGTCCATTTAAGAATGATTTTATCCAGTTCAGTATTGGTATTGAACATTGGACTATACGGACTTAGCCTCAATAATCGGTGATCTGTAAACTCTTCCTCTCGAAATACCTCTTCTAAGTCAGTATGGCAAGGAGCATTATCCACCACCAGCTCTACAGGCGTCTGGTACATATCTCGAGCAGTACGCAATCAATTGCGAATGAATTCTTGAGCATCTTGCTTTCTGAAAGCACCTCTTTTTACTTCGTGGTGAATCAATCCCATATTACCTATGCAACCTATGACATGGATATTTGCCCCACGGCTACCAGCTGAAATGTAACTGCAACGGGTTCCTTTTTTAGAACGTCCTTGTCTTCGGGAAATAAATAAATTGAAGTTGGTTTCATCCATGTATACAATTGGAATGTTATCCCCTTGATAATTCAAAAGCTGCTGTACATAATCACGTCGTCTTATTTTATTTTCTTCGCAATTGGTTCTCTCGGGTTCTTTACGAATATCTTTCAGTGTATACAACAAAAAATCTAAATGTTTTCGTAAACATTCAGTTGAAACAATAATTTGATGGATTTCCTCGAATTTTTGTTTCAGTTCTTTCAATATGAGCCTGGGGTTTTCTTCAATATACTGAACAATAATGTCGTGATGTTCTTCAGTAATTTTGTTCCTCCTTCTTCCTCCCCGTTGTTTTTCTATTTCGTCCCGATTCTTTACCCATCGATAAGCCGTTGCTTTTTTTACGCCGAGTGTATCTGCCAGTCCCCTCCAACCATCATTATTATTATACACTGCACAAATTTGTTTTCTAATATTGTCTGCATCCTTTTTCTTTATGTAAGGCATATCAACTATATAAAATATCAGGTAAGATGAATGATCGCTGATAATTAATCTCGATTTTGACACAATTTTGACAATTCGAATTTGCAGTTGTCGTTTCCCAATTTGAAGTTGTTTGGTCCCAAATTGAATGAGTTTATTCTTATGTTGATTGTGTTAATCAACTTGATAGTGTTAATTCCCAATTTGAAACTGTTAATTCTAAATTTGAAAATGATTATTCTCAATTTCATTGTGTTTATTCTCATTTTGAATTTGTTTACCAATTTGGATGTGATTAATCCCAATTTGAAATTGATAAGTCTCAATTTGAACTTGAAAAGGTATAGAAGGGAAAATCGCTAATGGGAATCAAAATAGGTACTTATATCCGAAGTATTACAAAGGAAGTGAAATAGTAATTTTCCTAACAAGTGCGGAAAGTGACACGAACGACGCGAAGCGGATTTCAGGCAAGCAGTCGAGTGCGGGAAAGACACTTTCCGCATGAGTCAGGAACAATATTTTTTCTACAAGCGTAGGAAATTGATTGATTTGTTCAATAAATTATTAATGTGAATAGGAATAACTAACTATCTACTAATTATTAGTAATAGCTATTGTGAACTTACAGTTTGACGCATTATGTAGGAACATTGCGGAAGCCATCAGGCCCATGAAGTGTTTGGTCTCTAGGATTCAGACACTTCTATACCTTTTCAACTTCAATTTCGGAATCGGTGAGTTATATTTCGGAAAAAGTAATCTCGATTTCAGAATTGGTTAGTTCGATTTCAGAAATGGTAAACTCAATTTCAGAATAGGTGAGATGAATTTCAGAAAGAGTCCATTCAATTTCAGAAATGGTAAGTTGTATTTCAGAATTATTATTGGTAGGTTCAATTTCAGAAGATGAGATCCTTTTATATGTTTGGAATGTTTTTAATTGCAAAAGAGAAGATTGTTTACAGTGGATGAACGGTGTTTGAGAGCCCTATGTTGAATCAGATTGAACATAAATATGGGGTGCCTTCAAGTCAGAAGTGAAGAGCTTCTTGCAAGAGCATCGCCAAAGGGTCATAGCTGGGGATCCGAACAGATTGCTCAACCAGATAGAATTCAAACTGCGATGTCTTGAAGAATGTGCAGATCATTCAATGAAAATGATAACACTTCAAATGTGTTTGCATTCTCATAATCATGTGCAACGCTATTATCTTCCAGCGATTCGGATGGAAGGCATCTGTGGATTAAATTGAGATTATAATTATGTTATTGAATTGTTTTTGACAAGTTGAATATTGTAAATATGGTGTGTTAATCTCACATGCAATTGAAAACATTTCGAACAAATATAAGTATTCATTTTCTTGAATTGGACCTACCAATTCTGAAATACAACTTACCATTTCTGAAATTGAATGGACTTTTTCTGAAATTCATCTCACCGATTCTGAAATTGAGTTTACCATTTCTGAAATCGAACTAACCAATTCTGAAATCGAGATTACTTTTTCCGAAATTGAAGTTGAAAAGGTGTAGTAAATGAACAAAAAATACTTCTACTTTATTCGGTATTTTCATTTCTTCATTGTTGTACCATTCAATAAAACGCGTGTATATACCTTTCTTAAGACTTCTTTGGCAATAACGCATTTGTGTCGCATCCCTATAGCTGGGTCACTTCGACAATTACAAACTTATTTGAGGTCTGATTGGCATGACAACAATAATCGTTTTCCATCAGATCAATTATAGGGGGATTTTTATAATATTCAATTTTTATTTTTCAATGTTTCTTAATTTTCACAATAAGTAGTGCAAATTGATGGATGCTACTGAACATACATACTTAATACTGCAACAAACAAACTAAAACTTTCATATTCCATCTCCAACCACTTATATTTTGCGATATAATCATATCTTTGTTTTTCCCGCACTGTCCAAACTAAATTTCGTGCGGGTGTAGGGTGAATCACGCACCATTTAGTCCAATAGATGAAGGGAACAAGTTAACATTAATTACGCACTATTTTCATCTTCCGGTTGGAAGTAGCTTTTGGTACCTCATTAAACATGAGACAAAGTTTGACTGGAAAACGCGTGCGATGGCGAAGAAAATGGCCCCAAAAGACCAGAAAAATAGGTTTTCAGCCAATATCTCCTAGAATATGGCAGTTAGAGATTTTCGGTTCAGATAAAAATTGATGTTCAGTTAATTTTCTACAAAAATGGTCTCCATCATTTTTCTCGAAAATTTGCCCGGTTTCGAGAAACACGGCACGAAGCGCACCTCGAATAATGAGCTTCTGTTTTATGCCGGAGAGTACAGTCCGTGTATGTCATCGGCGGGGGGACAAATTATTCAATAACCATGTTAAAAATTTTCAAAGTTCATGTGAAAGAGGAATTCTGCTGCTATCATACCCTGTGAATTGAGTCACGCTTGACTCTTTTGGCCATATCGGAACATGGGTCAAACTTTCTGCTCCCGGTCAATTTTGACCTCGCCAGGAATTTGTTCCTATTTCTTTTGTATTGCACTAATTTACTCAAAATTTTCTTGATTATGGGTCCTCATAGGGTCTTTTGTCATCCCTGATATTTGTATACCCTATTTTTTTTTTAATTTTCATTTAATCTTTGTTAATTGAATCCCAATTTTCTGCTGTTTCTGGAGCGCGGGGAAATTTTGTGAACAACCATCAATTAAGAATTTATACATGATCCGATTGGTTTCTATGATACATCATTTGAAAGCTAAGAAGGTCTACTTTTCGATTGTGCAATTACTTTTTTAGACGAAGTCGTCCATTTTTCAATAAAATTAGAAAAAGCGGGGTCAAGGAAAAAACGCACTTTTTTTTTCGGTGTTTTTTTTCTCCGTGCTCTTTATTTCTAACATTTTAACACCTTAACTAGTGTAACGGGGGAATTCCCACCTTTCCATCGATGTATATAAGTCATACCTTTGATATCCCGGGAAAAAACCAGTATATCTAAATGTACACGCTATAATTTATTACTTTCGTTCCTCCGTCGTTCACCGCGTGTGTGCTCTACGTGGCGCTCGGGTCGTCTGCTACAAACCAAGCGGCCACGCAGGGTATGATAGCAGCAGAATTCCTCTTTCACATGAACTTTGAATCTTGAGAAAATTTTTAACAAAGTTATTGAATAATTTGTCCCCCTGCCGATGTGTAAATACACGGACTGTGCTCTCCGGCATACAACACAGAAGCTCATTATTCGAGGTGCGCTTCGTGCCGTTTTTCTCGAAACTGGTCAAATTTTCGAGAAAAATGATAAGAACCATTTTTGTAGAAAATTAACTGAATTTCAATTTTTATCTGAGCCGAAAATCTCTAACTGCCATATTTTAGGAGATATTGGCTGAAAACCTATTTTCCTGGTCTTTTGGGGCCATTTTCTCCGCCATCGCACGCGTTTTCCAGTCAAACTTTGTCTCATGTTTGATGAGGTACCAAAAGCTACTTCCAACCGGAAGATGAAAATAGTGCGTAATTAACGTTAACTTTGCCTTTTTTTGCTCCTTAATTTATTGGACTAATTGTAGAAAAAAGATTTATTGTGTATCTAATGGCATTTTCGGATTCTCCCTGGGAAGCTGATTTATCGAAACATCATTCCTCGTGACGAAACGATAACCAACACATTTTTCATCAACTATTCCTATCCAGGTCCAGCAGCTGCGCCAGGAAGAGATGGAGCTGCGCCAGGAGAACCTCAAACTCAAAGAGGAGATCCTGCAGCTGAAGCGGCAAGTGGGCGTAGGCGCCTCCTCTGCTGCCCGCCCCACGCCCGCCAACCGATACGCCCCGCCTGCTCAGCCTGAGCAGGCCTTGCCCGTGGCGTACATCGCGCTGGCCGTGGTGCTCAGCCTGCTGAGCGTCCTGCTAGGCAAGTTCGCGCTCTGAGACGGCGGCGGTCGTCGACGCCCTGTATATTTTTCTGGGCGCGCCCTGTATATTTATTAACGCGCAGGTGTGCTGCATAAGAGCGGCGCTGGTCGGGCGCTAACCTAAAAGTGACTTGTCGTGGATGAAGTTGCCCATCTCGGCCTGCGGTTGACTCTTTTTTTTTGCGTACAGGGTGGCTCCTTATATTTTGACCTTTTCCTACAGCTTCCACTATAAGAGGTGAAAAACACTTCAAGTATAAAAGTTGTAGGGTTTCATCTGTAATTTTTTTTGGCACTTAAATGAACAAATTCGAATCGCAAAATGATGGATATACATCATTGGTAGATATATTTAGGAGAGATTTTTGATAGTCCATTGCTCTTTTTCTATCATAAAAAGTTTGCTCCTTTCACAAGTGAAGCTCTCTTTTAATATTCAGCTCACTCATTACCATATTATCGCTCGCAGGGCTTTTCTCAGTAGCGTTAATTTTCACATAATCCTATATCAAATTCTTTCTCAAATACCATCCTATATGATTTGGGAGGAGATCTTTGAACATTCTGTACATCTTCCTAATGTTAAGTTCTTCCGGCAAATATGACCTGAAGTATCGCTCATCATTTTTTCATAATTTTTTCCTCCGTGCTCATCTTTTGGAGCAGCATCAAACTTTTTCAAAGACCTCTGTTGGTACTCAACTTTGCTTTTAGAAATCCCATGAACTGTCTTGAAAAAACTTTGCGCACACTTTCACTTCATTCATAATATTTTCTGGTTTAATTCTCACCCGATATTTGTAGCTACTGTCATGAAACTTTGCTAAGTATTCTGGTGCCCTTGGCCTCTGCCTTTGTATGATAACTATTAATATCAGGGAGCACAGATGGGAATTTTGAGTATTGTGTGAATACCAATGAATTGAAATAATCGAGAATAGTTTGTCTGTCACTCGGATTCACTTTCTCCATACCCTTGAGCCTTCTGCACTCGCAAAACGTTCAGAATTCATATGCAAAATAAGTAGTTCTGATAGGACATTCCCCGTTTATGACGTTTTTGGTTGGACATTCCCTGTTTTCTCCGTATATGGCATTTCAAAACAATGTTGGAGAACATGTCGCTCCACGTTATCTCGTGATTTGGGTTAAGCATAGGTTGATACTTTGAATTTGCTAATAGATGGCATCACTAAGTCGTTTTGAACAAAAAAAGGGCATCTCCTGTTTTCTCCTGACACCCTTCAATTGACAAAGGGTTCTTTATGAATTCATCCTCTTTGTTAACAAAATCGTATCGTTAAAGTTTTTGGAGATATGTTGCCTCATCATTGTGAGGCCATTGAGTAGATCTTCAGACATGTTGCTACTCATTCAGGTTTTGAGTCTCCTAAGGCCTTTCAACTGTACAAGTCTTACAAGGTAAATCAACAAGGATCTTCAAAGCATTCTTAATTTCAGAAAAAAAAAATTACAAATGCAAGCGATTTATTTTGGCGAGTGCAGCCATAATTATTTTATGTCAAACTGACAGACTTGGCTTCGCTATCCATGGTGACATCGTTGAAAACATCAACGCTGATACCAATCAGAATTGAAAGACAGCTAATGTTTTAGCGATAAGCATACGTTGTCTCTGGCTTGTGATTGGTCATATTATGAAGACGCCTTGGGGAGTCCCTAAAAGATCTGTACAAAAGCTTTGCACATATATTTGAGGTCAAAATAAGCCGATTAAAAGCCACTTCCTTCAGTCCGAAATTTCTACGTTTCCGAAAAACAGGGTGGTGAAGATAAACAATAAAAATCGAGAAGTACATACACTCCAATAAACTATCATGAAGAATCCATTTTGTACTGCTAATTCACTGACCAAATAACATCCACGAAGATAACAGTAAACATTATTTATTCAAAATAATTTAAATATTATGTTGCTGCATCCGAAAAATAAAAATCGAAATATCTCGGAATCGGCTTACTTAAGCAGATTTTGACAAGAGTATATTTTTTGCTTGGAAATTTGTTTCCTCAACGAATGAAGTAAGAAACTACACTATGGCAAAAGGTATGGCCATTCTAAACCATTATAAGTAAATCTATAAGCGCCCTAAGTGGCCACAGTGAAAAAGTGTCCTTATTTGTGTTTTGTATCCCAAAAACCCTGGGATATTAATTTTGGAAGTTAAACGTTCAAAAATGTTCATAAATTCTCAGAAATTCGATTTTTATTCTTCAACTTCCCCACCCTGTATCGCGGAAACGCAGCAATTTTTGATTAAATTCTTGCTGCAATAATGGAATTTTTGCAATATTTTTCGTTATTATTTCGTATTTATCCTCTACGGAATAACCCATTCTGATTGAAAAACCAAGAGAAATGTAGAAAAATGCCTGTTTTGTTTTCATGGCATTTTTGTTGTGTCCACAGCCATCTAAAATGTTTTTGGCAACTTTGATTCAACGCTACATTAGTGAAAAATGGATTGAGGAAACATTAGCAAACTAAATATATTTGTGAACAGAAGAAAAATATTTTTCACTTGAGTTGAATATATAAAGAGTGTGTCATTTGAAAAAACCGAATTGGAATCTTTGATCATTTTACGACTCGCATCTAATAGTTTGAGGAGTGCCAAAAGATGGTACATATGAAATCCTACAACTTTTATAATTTGAGTTTTTTTCCACGTCGTATAGTTGAAGCTGTAAGTCGGGGTCAAATATATACAGAGACACTCTGTACACGGTGGTAGCGAATGTATCGCGACAGGCAGGTGAATAGTTCGGGAATGGCTTCATTTTAATTCTACAGTGTGTGGCATTAGAGCGGGAACCTACAACGTGTTTTTTGAGTCTCATTTGTTCACACTCAAATTTCACCTCTCACTACACGGATATGAGATTGCCGAATAAAAATCGTGGATCAAGGGGTGAATGGAGTTGTATTTTGTTGTAAACAATGTTGATGTTAAGTTTGGCATTTTATTAATTCAATTAATTATTAACAAAAACTTGGATGAAATGATCGCCTAGTGCCGAATAAATTGAATGGATATTGGATTCGTAGTCATAATATCCAATGTTTGTTAACAATATTATTGGTAACGGTAATATTGTTATCGAAAGTGGAATTTCAAGACTGCAAAGATCAATATTCAATCAATTTATTCCGCAATTTTTTCATTTGATTTAAAAAATAATATAAAATCAATGCCGAACATTTATGTATGAAACACTGATACTCTACACATTTAAGACAAAATTACGCGGATGAGGACGAATCTAGCAGTTTTTTTCAGAAGAATATGCCTATTCTATTCAGGATAAGATACACCCATACCAAATTTTAACATCATATTTCACAAAGGGTGTGAAATAATTGTAGTTTCATAGTGTTCATGCACTGATTGTTGTTCATACAAGTGATGAACTATTTCTCAATTTTGATTATGAAGGAAATGATGCGTTGAGAGAAATTAATACCAAGGAATGTATATCAAATTGAGTTGGGAAAAACAGGATTCATAATAGTTCAACGAATATTAAGGTACAATGCTGGAAAATGTTATCTTACCTTTGACTAATAAAACAAATAGAAGACTCTTCTGGACAACAAACTTATCTATCACTGGCTAAATATACCTTTTTTCTTAAAAATTAACAGATGTATCAAAGTGAGGCACAATCAGGTTAGGTTGTTGAAAAAATGGTCTTTTTTTGTTATTTTCTTATAATAGATTGGGTAAGATTTCTAAACTAGATCGTCTCTTTCGTCAAACAAATAACAGAATCGGAATGAAGCCAATGTGCTCTTATTGCCAACATTATTTTTATTATCACACTGTAGATGTTGAAATATAATTAATTTATCTGATAACTATTAAAACAATTTTATTATTTATTCATTTGAACACTACGTAGTGCATGTGTGCCACTACGAGATATTTCATCCCCCAATGCTGAATCTACGAGCTGACAAACGTTATTAACCCAGATATGCCTAAATCTTTTTCGATTAATTCAGAACTCTGAATGCTCAATATTCCATCTAACTGAGGTCGAAATAAAAGAAGTATATGAATTTTACATTTTTTATTCATCAAGAAGTACAAAAATTTGGCCGTCCTACATTTAGGACATCAGGCACATGGGGTTGATAATTAAAACTGGTTATGTTCTTTGATGATACATAACAAAACACTTTGTGTGAAGTCCAACGTCACATTTTGAGCACCTCGTAGTGGTTTTTTGATGACACAAGGCACATCGAGTTTGGTTGACTTGTGGAACCACTAAATGATCAAGTCGGTCATATCTCATATCATTCTCATTCAAACTTGTAGGATGCCCTCTCTGATAAGATTTTTTTTTCTTATTCTGAACCAATAAAGTCGTTGCAATAATCCTCCGGAAACTGAGTTGGTCCAAGTTTCCTCCTTTTTTACGATGGAGTTGCCACGCATTTTGGATAGACAAATCAATACAGTGTGCGATCAAAGGCCAGTACCACTTCTTCCCTCTGATTCCCACACGATATAGACTCACGTTCTGATCAGAACGATCAACACCTCCCATATTAGCATTATACATGTGTATTAGGTGGGGCTGGTCAACCTGAAAATTTGATTCTGTGAAGCAAAGAAAGAACAATGAATTATTTACAAATGCCTACCTGAATATTCTTCTTCTCTTTCTGGGAGTATCGCTTCACCGAATGCAGTGGAGCAACTCCCGAAAAATTCGAGCAAAGAGATACAATACTGTTATCTTGCCATTTCACCGCTATTATATTCTTCTCCTCAATCTTCTTGAAGTCGAATGACCCTCTGTTTTTTTTCTTCAAAATTTTTGAATCCATCAGGTTGCTTCCTGGTAAACGATTTTCTCTTACGGTTCCTGTAGCATGCAAGTTCTTAGTTGTCAATTCTTCGATCAGCGGTAAAGACGTGAAGAAGTTATCGAAAAACAGATGGAATTTCTTATCAGGCCATTTTCTACGAAGCGCATCAGCGT